CTGACATAAGATGACAAAAAAACCAGTTCCCGATATGTTAAAATACTTTCTTTTCAATTTTTTTTTTTATTGTATACATTGGCACTATAATATTGATGCTAGAAGTTTCTTAGCCCATTTTTATTTTATATGACGTACCCTAATATATATATATATATATATATATATATATATATATATATATATATATATATATATATATATATATATATATATATCTTGATAAAATAAAGTAATTGATAACAAAGATATAGAGCTGGATCCAAGACATTTCTCAAAGTATATCGAATATACGTACTTCAAAACTTACTTGGCACAAACGTTTTATATAATTTTGAATTAAAATAAAAATTTATTTATTAAAACAAAGCTTAAAAAATTTTTTAGAGTTGAATAAAAACTTTTAGATGTCAAAAAATATTTGGAAAATAGATTATTTTTTTATTATTACTTTCAATATTATTATTTGGAAAATAAATTATTTTACTTTTATTATTTACTTGGATCAGCCAAAACTATTGATAAAAAGATTTGCTATAAAAAATTTCCAAATTTTAAAAATAAAGTTTTTTTTTTTTATAAGTCTTTTACGATTTTTTAAATAACATTTCAAAATTTTTTTAATTCATATGTTTTAGATTTTTTAATGCAAGAAAATCATCCATCCAGAAAATCAGTTAAAACAAAAGCTTTTTACTCTACTACTAAAAATTCTTTAAAAGATAAAATTGAGAGAAGTTTCATATTTGACAAATATTATGAAAACGATAATAAAAATCATCTATACAAAAAAACAAACAATTTTGAAAACTATGACGATGGGTTATACGACAGCGACCAGCTAAGTTACAATGATCTCCATAATGAAATACAAAATCTACACACTCGTGTTTCAAATGACGCAGATCCTGATAATGAAGTTCCACCTAGTAAAAATATAGATGAAGTTGAAGAATTAGATAGAGACAAAATAGAACGTTTAGCGGATGAAAAAAATGATTTTTTTCCAAAAAGAGACTTTAATGTGTCAATGGAGCCAATGGAATTTATAGAGTCAGATGACTTACTTGAGTCAGAGAGCTATAAAAAAAAAGTTGAAAGAGTAAAAAGGATGAGACACGTTTTTCATCCAACTGTTGATCTTGAAGATACAAAACAAACTTTATTAATCTTAAACACCACTTTACAAACAAGTCGTTCAGGCTCTAGCCCTCAGAGTTCGGACTCTCAGAATGGTTTTTTAGATTCTCCGATACCAGCTAAAAGTTCAACTATCAATCCAACAACGTCTGCGTATTCTTTTACAAAAGCAATAGTTCCTTTTGTTTACAATACCACACCCAAATCATTTGTTACAAACCTAAAAATTATCTCAGATTACAATTCAGAAAATTCGTTAAGAAGTATAAATGATAACGACAATAGCGACATTAAAGCAAAATTTAAAAATGTAATTGTTTCTGATACAACGCTCAACAAAACAGAAAACGAATACAACAATGGATTAGATACATCTCGAGTAAATAAAGAAACAGAAACTTCAGGTAAATCAGTTTCCATGTCGTCACCTCATATTTTAATGGATATTGGGATTTATCCAACTTTATTGAACGAAAATAAAGAACCGGTAACCAGCAACCGAATACCAGAAAATCTCCCTCAATCTGGTAAAAGTTACGAAAACCCGCCAAAACTTCAGCTAGCACAGAATTATGAGTCTCTTAAAGATTTGGACTTCAATGGAACACCTGACGCAGATGATCTATTAGATGAAAAGTACGCTTCTGAAGAAGCAAAAAACTTTAATCAAAAGAATCTTGAACAAAACATAACCAACAACAGTTACAATAATTTTTCTTATAAAGAAAAAGAACATTCTTTAGGTCTTGAAAAGGGTCTTATTGCCTTAGATTCTCACAATGAGAATCTAAGGCAATTAGAGTCGTACAAGTCAATAAAATATTCAGAGCAGCCAGAATACTTTCAGCAATCAAAAAAAAAAAGTGCTAACGAATCGCTTGAGGATGCATTTGTTATCAATAAAAAGCAAGAAGATAAGAAACGAAAAGAAATTTCTACTGAAAATCTAATCCCCACAAAAGTAGATGATCACTTCTACCCTCCATTTAAAGGTATTGATCAGAACGATTACGTAATTGACAAATTTTCGTTAAATCCAAACTTTATTGACAAAGATGGTAAACTTAAAATCAGTGCAGAACAAATGAAATCTTCAGGAGTAAAATCAAATGTAAGTTGCTTTTAATAAACAATATAAATAAAGAGTTTTTTATTGCCAAAATATTTTTATCCATCACTTTGAAATATGTGGAACAATTCATAATTTTTAATGTTTATACTTTTACCAAATGCAAATGTGTTTTAATGAAAGTCATTAACAATAAACAACAATAAAGCAGCAATGACATGTTTGCTTTAAACAAAACTACATTTAAGTTGAACCTTAATAGTATCTTATACAAGTTCATTTCATTAGAAGAGTTTAAAAAGCTCATTTAAATTGTTACAGTCATAAAGTTTTAAGATACACAAAGTCTAACCTTGGTGTAATAATTTTAAACTTTAGATTAAATATGATTTTGATCATAAGGATTTGTTAATTTTACATTTGACTTTATCTAATAGTTAAGATGCTTCAAGAAGGTCAACGGACCATCATATAGCACTATAAAGAAGCATATATCTGAGAAATAAATACTTTTTTTCTATCCAATATCTTAAACATAGTGGCAAGCTTAAACCTCGAACTTTTCAATCTAAAGAAAGCTCTCTTACTATATCATCTTGAATAAGTAAATAAATTTAAATCTACAATTATTTTTATGGAGCATTTTTTTAAGTAAAAAAGGCAAATTGCTCTATTTTTGCTTCAACCAGAGTAATATTTTTTTAAGTAATTCTCTTTTTGGTATTAGTATGAACATAAATGTTCAAAATTTCCCTCATACCTAAAGATTACCTTTTTGTTAGTTGGTTTTTTCTAAATATTTAATTTTGCAACTGCACTAAAAAACTTGCAAAACCAAACAATTCATTTTTTTAAAAAGTCTTTATATAACCTATTTAATATTACATAATTAATAGAAAAGTTATTCAATGTTAAGTGATTGAATGGTTCCTTGTGGACGTTAAAAAATGCTAAAACTTGTTGATTTGGCACATATGCATATGAGAAAAAAAAGGTTTAAAATATAAGATCAATTTTTAATACCATTCTTGAAAAAACACAACTTAAATAAAGATTATTTTGCATGTCTCTCTTCAAGCTAACTTGCTGTAACTTTATTGTTTTTTCAAAGCTAATAACTTTTCAACATGTTTTTTACTTTAACTGTTGTTGAATTATGAATAAGTAGGCTATGAATATTTTTTTAATGTAAAAAAAAAAGAAAAATCTGACTTTCAACTATAGTTAATATTTTTGTTAATGATTTAAAATTTTCTTTGATTTAAAAGACCTAACTCTTAAAAATCAGATTGAAAAAGTTGCTTGAGTTTATTTATCATTAATGCATCAAGTTTGATGCATTAATGATAAATAAAACATTTTAAAAAAACTTATTTGATTAAAATTCTTTATTTAAAAGTTATAAATCAGCAAAGTCAACCAGATCAAGATTTTTTTAAATTCTTGATGCAAAGAAGATGTTACCTCAAATCACTCTTTTTTTTTTTTTTATTTTGTGGATTGACCTTCAGTAATTTATTAAGTAATATTCTTAATATGATCCATTTTCTAATATTTATACTAAATTGCATAACAATGTTTTATATTGCTATGCAAAAGCTGGAAACAAATTGTTATTGTTTTAAGTATCATAAAATAAAAATGCCTTCTAGGGCCCTGTGTAAGCCTGGCTTCAGCTGCAGGCGTCTCTAATTGGTCGGCAAAAAAAAAATGGTTGCAGAAGTTCTTGAATTCTATTAATTTTATAAAAAGGTTTGTCGAGAAAAAAAAATTTTGTTTCAATTAAATTAGATGATACAAAGCAACATATCCAAAAACAATTTCTTTTATTAAAGAGCTTCATATTGAGTTTGAAAAAAAACATGGTTATTTTTAAATAAACTTTTTAAATCTAAGTTTTGTAAAAGTAATGCTTCTGGTCTGCTGCAGTTTGTGTTCGCGTTTCCCATTAAAATAAAAAGCTCTTTGCACCGAATACTCCAGAAATAGCTGATTACAAAAACTTATTTATGTTTATGGTTTGAGCATTAAATGTAGAGATTGTGTTCTGCCGTAACTTTTCATCTGATTTCGACAGGTTTTGACAAATTACATTGGTAGTTTGTTTGATGAAAATGAAATTAATGAAGTTAGTCTTTATCAAAGGCAAAAATAAAATTTCCTATATAATTTACTCCGAGCAAGGTTACCTATAGATTATTGAGATGGGTTTATATTCATTAAGATGAGTTTTATATTCAAATAAATTTTTATTCTAGTTAATAAGCTTTTGGATATATGAAAGATGGTTATTGAATTTAATGTGAAAGTTTAAAAGAGCATTATTTTATATCAAAAAGTCAAGTTCTCCTTGACTTTACTCTTCTTGGCTTTACTCTCTTTGACTTTACTCTCCTTGGCTTTATTCTCTTCGGCAAAAAATACTTGTTTTGTAATACAGAATACAATGCAAGGTTTCTACAAAAATAACAGCCAAGCAAATTTTCATCCCTTTATTGTTTCTTTTTAAGATTAAAACTTACTTGTCAAAGTTACTGTGTTATATCAGACCATTTGAAACATGGAACAGATGCATTGCTTTATCAATAATGTTCTTGATAAAGTCAGTTATAACCATTTGAACAATTTTTCTATTACGTCATTCTAAATTCTATTATCTCTATGACAGAGCTGCTTCAAAATATAAAATATAGTATCAAAAGTAATAACAACTTATGCTATTATAAACAAAATTTCAAGATCATTGAAGATTGGCACTTTTTCGCAATTTCATAAACTCTTTTCTATAGAGTAGCACAGGCCATAAAACCTTTTGTTGCACTCAGGGCGCGACGAATCGTTTTTTTTTTCACGGATGTTCACGTTCGTATCTTAAATTATTGACGAACGTCTAAAATTAAGTCATACATGTCAAATAAGGGAGTTTTATATTCAAATAAATTTTTATTCTAGTTAATAAGCTTTTGGATATATGAAAGATAGTTATCAATTGTCATATTTTCGAAACAATTTTTCACGCATTTGCAAAGTGCGCGCAAGTTATTGATTTTTAATATGCAATGATTGTAAACTGTTATCCAACGATACAAAACTTTTTTATTTTATTTGGTTTGTTAAAATATATTTTATGAGTAAATAAATTTAACAATAAATTTAATTTCTTCGCGTTTATTAAATAAACGTAAAATAAAAGGAACTAAAGAAACAAATCACAAAATGACGTCTCATTAATATTTATATATTGATTTTTATATTTATATAAATGGATTTAAAAATCACTAAAACTATTTAGTTTATGGCCTTCCAAATGTTATATACCAACCGCTGCGTCAATCCAATTTTTGACATGTTTTTGGGGCAAAAAGTCTTCAATTAACTGGCCATCAAGCTTTATACGCATAATATCTTCTAAGGTATTGTCATTTAATGAAGTTTGCAAAATATTTTTTTATAAGTTCATACAAGAAAAACTGCGTTCGCAGCTTGCCATTGAAGCGCTGAATATTAGCATCTCTAACAAGACATTTATACTTACCAATTCAGGTTCATTTTCCAGCAAGATATCTCTATAAATGCTATAAAAGTGAATTTGTCCTTAGTTAAGAGACTTTCTCCCTGAATAAAGGCCACTGCAATACACATAACTTAGAAGTTTCTCTGTTTATCATATTATTGCTCTCATAAAAGTTGCAAACACTTTTTACTTCATTAAATCCCCATTTATTTGTCTCTAGCGAACCTGTAAAAGATTTTGGCCAGTTTCAACAATCAAAGATTGTGGTTAAAGATTTTAATGGCTCTTGATTAATTAAATTACGCTTTTTTAATACTGTTAAATCAATACCTTTGTAGATTAACTGATCTTCTTTTATTTCTAAATTATCTAGTAAACGTCTAGTACAGCAATTCTTGCATCAACTTTACGCAAAATCTAAAAAAAAAATTAAAATTTCTTCTTTTTTAAACTCCAATGACAATATTGTTAGTGATTTAATAATATCTTGAATAAAATGTAAATAAAATAAAAATTGTGGGTCTTTCATGAAACACAAAAATCCTTTAGCTTTCTATGCAGTTTCATCTTTTTCGTTTGCCTTGTTTCTAAATCATAAATAATAACTTTACAGTCAGTTTCAAGCAATCTTAACGCCCTTTCCCGGCTAGCTAATCAACGAATATTTTTCAATATCCCAAACTGTTTAAACTCTTTATCTAAAAAAGAAGCTATTTTTTTCAGTTCCTTTCTTCGCTGCGATGAATAATAGTAAAAACGAAACAAACTATTGATGTTGTCATCAAACTTCTTTAAATAAATATCAAACTTTATTAAGTCTAACACAGAGAGTTCTAATCTATGCGCTACGCAGTGGGTATATACTATATTGGGGTTTTTATTTCGCATTTTAGTTTGAAAACCAGTTTTATTGCCAGACCTTACAAATGCACCATCAAAGTTAACATTTACAGTTTTTGCATAGATATTGTTTAAATATAAATCTAGATTCAATTTGTCTGTTGTTAAACTTTTTAAAACAAATTCTATTGCATTTAATATACCATCGTTATACCAAAGTTAATATACCAGAGTTAATACCAGCAAATATAGTTATTGAATTACCATTTTTAACAAACCTTAACCTTAAACCTTGTTCACTAATACTCTTATCAGTAGAACCGTCAGATAAAATTGTAATAAAACGAGCATTTTTTTTTTTTGTATGTATTTAGGTGCTCCCAGAAGTCCTTACGGTCTTATCATAGAGCACCGCGGGTGAGCATTTAACAGGAAGTTCACGCCTCCTTCCGTACCAATGTCGTTTGTTGGGCTGGAGCTGGCATCGAACCTGGGACATCTGGGTTCTGAGCCAGAATTCTAACCACTGCGCCACGGCTGCTCAGTTACAGTTCTGACACGTCTAAACTTTATTCGCGTTTTAAGTCAGAAGAAATTGATGAAACAAAGTTTTTGCAAGATTTGTCACTTAAGTAGTTCTTGTCCAACTTAATTCCATTTAGCTTTTGTAGCTCGCACAGCTGAGGAAATTTTTTAAATGCAAGATCCTCCTTAACAACAAAATACGATATCCGAAAAAGTCTGTTCAATTCTTCTTGGTTATTTTCAGTAGTTCTTAAAATTGATGTCGATATTGTTTTCTCAAAACTTGGAGCTATATTGTGAAGGTTCTCTCGATATTTAGAAATACAGGCTTTACGCCCATCATCTTTATTGTGGCGAAACAAATATGTTCTTTTTCAAAATTTACATCATTGTTACTGAATTGGTTAAGTTGCTAATATTTGGATACTTTTGGCAAACCTAGCAAGAGATTCTCTTTTTATTTGTCAATATGAATCTAGCTATAATTTAGTTGTTGCCCGTGTTTTTATTGCTTAGCGGCAATCCATTTACGGTTTTCCAAAAGTCATGGCACAATACAAGTCATTGCACTTTTTTTTTGCGTGCTTAGTTTCTCTCTCTTCTTCTTCTCCTTTCGCATGCTTAGTGTCTTTCTCTTCTTCTTCTCCTTTCGCATGCTTAGTTTCTCTCTCTTCTCCATTGCATTTAATGCTACGCTCCTCTGTACCATCTTTCTTTAACATCGAAAAGATGCTTAGTTGTTTTCACGTTTTTTTAAAAAATTTAAAAATAATAGTATATTAAGTATATAATAAAAGGTTAATAAAAATATCATATTATTGGTGTCGCTAAACGCACAATAAAAAAATTAAAATTATAATAAACATATATACTCTTAGATTATGTATTTTAATTATACTCAGGTGAAAATAGCATCGGAACAACGTTATCATTCTGAACATAAAAATAATGTGATTTTGATATATCTTTGATTTTTCTTGAATAACTTAAAATTGAACTGAATCCAAGTTCATTTTTTTGTTGTCTTGTGTCGTTTTCTGACATATGAATTACAGATATTTGCAAATCTTGTAATGCTAACGCAAAACCTGCTGCTGACCTCATCTCGAATTGACTAAATTTAACTTTCAGGGCTGCGATTTGCTTAACAGTAGCTCCTATTCCGTCAACCACTCCTTTCCCATGCATCGCTGCAAAGAAATGCCAGTAGAATTTTTTATGAAAATGTTTTTAGAACACAACAATTGCAGCCATAATGCTTTTGTTTTTGAACTGAGAAGTGGCATTGTAGCTGAACATATGTACTTCTTTGACTTGATCAGGAATAAAGTGAAGGATTTTATCAATGTATGGTATAACGGAAGACTTTGTATGATCAGTTGAATCAGAAACTATGCCAAATGTTTTTAACTCAATGTTCCAGACTGCAAGGGTCATGATAGAAACTTGATTTTGACCAAAATGAGCTACTTGTGGTTCATTTTGATAGAAATACCTAGCGTTTTCAGCCCAGTCAACTTGGATTGCCGCAATTTCAGAATTAATACTCATCGAAACTTCCTTCAGTTTTTTAAAAATTGTTGATTGACTTTTTTTTACAAAGCGTGTTTAAAAAACTTATCACGCATTACTGATATGTGTTGGTCGAGTTCTGTTACAGTAGACTTTTTTGAAATTTTTTCAATGTTTTCGTTTCAGGCTTTTTCCACTCGTCGCAGAATACTTCAAACCAAATGTAGGAACAGTTTGCAAGTGTTTATCGAACTGTTTCATACCTTTGCACGCAACGCATTTGTCATAGGCGCAATTGTATGTATACGGTCCACAAACAAAGTTATTTATAATTTCAGATCCAACTTTGATTAAAGACACTTGAATTGATTTTCTTAATGCATCTAAGGTAAATCGCATATTTTCATGCAAACTACAAACACAAACATTATGCGGAAATTTTTTAACTGGTTTTACATTGCGTGGAAGAAGGTCGCAATTTTTATGTGCTGATGTTTTTCTTTGAATAACTCGAAAGCTTCTTTTAGCGTATAATATAAATGACGTATCTGAACATTGTTTGCTTTTCCATCAGATAATTGAATTCGAGTGACATCTATTTTGTTAGGTGATATTTGGGAAACTTCATCTTCATTATAAAAGTTTACAACTGCTAAAACATATCTTTTAGAAAGGCCATACAGCTTTGAACATGCTGAATTGTTTCTTCCTTAAAATTGGTATTGCTTTTAAAACTTTTTTAAATGGTTTTTCTCTTTGTTGAACGTTTTTACATGGTCTTTGAGATTGATTTAAAAGTTTTCTTTTTAGAGCGCGACTTTTTAAAACTCTTGATTTTGCTTTAGCAGCATAAGTTGCTTTCTTAATAGGATCAGCTTTCAAATTTTCTCGATACCTCTTAGATCTTACTCTGGACATTTCTTTCTTTTTATCAGCATTCTGAGAAACATAATTAGCTTGGTATTTTGCAAAAACGTTTTTTTTTACTTCTAACTTTGATTCCATTTCTTAAAAATTTACAACTTTTTAAGAAAATGTCAACATAAATCCAATAATTTACAAATATTTACTAATAGCACTTTACAATACTAAAATGATAAATTTTATAAAATAAAACCCACAACAAAATCTAAACGTTTAGATGATATTATGACTCGGATGATATTATACCACGCTATTTTATAAAACGCTAATTATCCCGTTGATGAATATATATATATATATATATATATATATATATATATATACATATATATATATATATATATATATATATATATATATATATATATATATATATATATATATATATATATATATATATATATATATATATATATATATATATATAATATATATATATATATATATATATATATATATATATATATATATATATATATATATATATATTATATATATATATATATATATATATATATATATATATATATATATATATATATATATATATATATATATATATATATATATATATATATATATATATAGTCTTCTAAAGAGCTTGTCCTCTTTACCCTGTTGGTCATTGTAGCCAATAAAAATAATTTTATTATAAACAGTAAAATTCATATGTTATTTATTTATTTAAAATAGTAATTAGCACACTTTTGTTTTCTAGATAAGAAACTAATTCATAAGAAATTCATTTAGTTACTATTTAAAATAAAAAATTCTTCGTATCTTATTTAAATACAACTTCGTATCTTATTTAAATACAAAAGTGTATAAAAGCGTAGTATAAATTGAAGTGTTATAATGTCAATTGTTGAAAAATAAATACTTTTTTATTGAAATTTTAACTACCAAAAAGGGCAAATTAAAATGAAATTAAAAACTTACCATTAAAACCAAACCTATATCTATATATATATTTTTGTAAGTTTTTTAAACAGTTTAAAAAGTTTTTCAAAATAGAATGATAGTAATTTTACTGTTTTTTATTGTTATCTACTTATATAATAGAATGAATGAATGATGATAACATTCAAATGTTTTGAAACTTTCTTCATTTTTTCTTCGATATCTTTAAAATCCAACAATAGATTTTTTTTGTGCTATGAAATAAATTAAGTTTTGCTTTAGTTTTTTTTTTTGTTTTAGTTTAAAAAAAATTGTTAGCTGCTGAACATTTTTTTGTATTTTGTTATTTTTTTTACAAATTTTCTATAATATTTTGAGGTTTGACATTTCTTAGACGGGAGATAGTTACCCCCTTACCGCCCCCCTACCTTTGTATCCGCCACTGGTTTGTATGTATTTGTATGTGGTTATATATGTGTGTATGTATGTGACTAATACTAAATTACTTTTTTTTTTGTTAAGATTATTGTAATTATTTTTATTTTTATCATTTTATTTTTATCATTGTATTGTTATTGTTACTACTACCACTATTATTATTATCATTATTAGTATTTTTACTCCATCAACTTTTAATGTTCGTTTTGCTACTGCTGTGGATCATTAAAATTACTATTAGCATTAATAATATATTTATTAGCTTTTGTTTGTAAGGTTTTTATTCAAGATTAGTACATGTACTATTTATAAACTTCTGTGAATGTAACAACTATTTCAGAATATATGAATTGATTGATTTAGTCAAAGATCTTAAAAAAACTAGCTCTTTTTAGGATGCAATGACCCAAAGATAACTTTTATCTGTTTTAGCATATATAATTATCTGTTTTAGCATATATAATTATCTGTTTTATAATATATGATAATTTATCTGCTTTATAATATATGCTAATTTATCTGTTTTAGCATATATGCTAAAGCAGATAAATTATCTTTGGGTCGTTGCTAGATATATTTAAGTAAGATCAAAATCACAAATATAGAATATAAATATAAAATACTTTTAAAAACAATGCACGCAGATATAATAATAAAATAATAAATAATGTAAATAGTAATATGGGTATATAACCTCACGTGAAATGCTTTATGAACTTTTGTTAAATGGAATTTAAATCGTAAGCATTTTTATTTTAAATTAAACTGATCTTAAATTCTTTGTGTCTTTAGAAAAGTAGTGAACTGAAAGAGAACACGAACAACAAGCTGTCAAATGGCCTTACAAAAGGCAATGAAAGTGAGTCACCAACAAACAGCATTGAAAATATATTACCAACAAAAAGTTATGAGAATGGATCGCCAACAAAGATTAGCATAAAATTTCATGTTTTAGATGGAAGTAAAGACAAAAGCAAGCCAATAAAAGAGCTTGTTATTCCGATAGGTAGTTTTACATCAAAAATCTCTCAAGAAATACCTGACAAAGATGAAGTTTTAATTCAACTCACAAAACTATTATTAAAACTTTTTGGCAAGTCAAATAACAAACTGTTCGAAAACAAAGATATATCAACAGCAAATGAAGAAAAATTGCATCAGAAAGAAAATCCAACAGACATTTTGCAAACTTCAAATCTTCTTAAAAGTCTTAGTGAAAAACCTGATGTGGAAGAAGTTTACCAACAAAGTGAAAATAAAGAAAATGAAATTCAATCAACTGATTTAAATAAGTATCTGAAGTCTCATGATATTAACAAAGATTTGAAAAGTGCAGTTCAAAGCATATTAAAAGAAATGAGTGATGAGAGAAGTCAATCTCTACTTTTGAGCAAAATTGATAAAAGTCGGAACAATCCTGTTAATAGATATGCGTCATATAAAGGTCCTGAAATGGAATCAACTGATGATGATACAAGAAATAATGCTTTAGATCTTGCAATTAAAATAATTAATTCAGAAATAAAAAAAAATTTTGACTGGAAAAAACAAAAAAATATACCTCAACTTTTAAGAGATGAATCAATTAATGACGAAAACCCATTTGTTAAAAACAATACTTATAACAATAATGACGAAAACCCATTTGTTAAAAATAATACTTTCAACAACAACCAAACTTCTAATAATGACAATGTTTTTAATAGAAACGAGAATAATAATAAAAACAATTATTTAAATAAAAACAATTCTTTTAATATATACAACAATTCTAATAAGAATGCTGAAGATTTTTTACGTTCAGATAAAATTACTTTTTTAACAAACAGTGACATAAAAAGTGAAACATCGAAAAAGATAACAAACATTAAAGAAATGGTAAAGCAAGACAATGTTCCAACTAATGTCATTGTTGATCCTTTAAGTACTTCATTTAACTCGGCAAAAAATGCAGACCCAAGGGGTAAAACCTCGGAAGTTAAAAATGAGAGGAACTTAACAGTTCAAAAACTTAATGAGTTTTTACCATCATACAAAAATGAAATTTTGAGATCAAGCGAGCAAAAGTATATCCAACCAAAATACAATAAAAAAGTGAACCCTTATAGTTATCTAGAAAAAAATAATAATGACTTCAAAAGCATAAAAAAGTCTATTTTAAAAGTAACAGGAGTCATTCAACCGTTAGAATATGAATTTCATGATGGCTCCCGTCTAGAAAACGCGTCTAAATTTACAAATGATTTGGGAGGAACATTAAATACTATGCCGTTGTTAAATCAAAAAAATTTATTTTTTTCTGATTGTTCTTGCGATTCTTGTCCTTGTAAATTAGGTAAAAAAGTGATAAATGAAAATTCAATTAGACGTCAAGCAACGACAATTTCTTCTTATGACGATGAAAAAATGATGAGCTCTCGATCCTCTTTTGAAAATGTTCAGCCAACATCATCTCCATATTTTATGACCACCAAATCTTTACTTGATTTTAGTAAACAAACTTTCGAAGAGCCTTGTTTTGGAGATTTTTGCGAACAGAAATCTTGTGTTTCACCACCTTGTTACAATCAAGAAGAGCAGTGTTTAAGTCCACCTTGCTCATTTCCAGGAACTGACTGGAAAGTGTCACATATGTCATATGGATCCGCCTGTTTGTGTTTAGACGGTAAAAACAATTGCTCGTGTCATACTGACAAAGAAACTCCAAAATTTTCTTCATATTCTTCACGTCCTCTTGTAACTCAAAGTCCATTATGCAACAACCCACCTTGTATTCAACAAGCAAATTCTTATTCAAATTGTGCAAATTATCCATGTCAATTTCAAAGTTATTTTAATATTCCTTTAAGTTGTACAAATGCCCCATGTCAAAATAATCAAAATGCAGTCACACAAAATGCAGGTCTGCAAAATGCAATCACACAAAATGTAGGTATGCAAAATGCAATCACACAAAATGCAGGTATGCAAAATGCAATTGTTCAAAGTCCAGGTAATTTTCGCTGCACAAATTCACCCTGCCAACAAAATGATTTTTCTAGCCAGTGTTATGGTACACAATGTTCCTCGCCTCCAAACTTTAGCACAAATTGCTTCTCGCCCCAAAATTTTTACTCTCAATGCTCGTTACCTCAAAAATATAATAATTATAATAAAGATTTCACCAACCATCCACAAAATTGCGGAAACGGAATACCGTGTATCAGCTCCTCTGCAAACTATTTTAATAATTTTGAAAACAGTTATGGAAACTTACCAAACTTTTATCAGCCACAATGTACCAATATGATGTGCTGCAATAATTCTCCTTGTTTAAATGATCAAATTAAAGATAAAAAAAAGAAAAATAAAAATACAGAAAGTGAGAATGATGATAACAGTATAAATTTAAAAATAGAAAATACATACAGTCAGGAGGACACAACTACAAAATCGCCCACGCGTAGACCAACAAGAAAGGTGTTAATTGTTTTTGCACCCACTCAACCACCTAAAATAATTTATGCCCCACCACCAGCACCACCACCACCAATTTATTCAGTCCAAGCTCCAAAAACAATCTATAAAACTGTATCTATTGCAACCACTCCAATTACCAATCAAATACAAGTACAACCAGTTGTAACTAATTACCAACCAAGTACTAGTTCACCCCGAATAGTTAATGTAGCTGCTGAACCAACGGTTACTAAACCATTGTATGTTATTCGTTATATAAATCGTGTTCCACAACGTTCGAAACCTAAAGTTGTTGTTAATCCTAAGGTCCCACAGAGAATTGTTACAGCACCAATGGCTGCTGAGAAAATAATTAAAAAACCATTACAGAGCTATCAATTCAAAAGACCATCTTTCTATAGAGGTTCTAACAGACTTTCTAATTATCAAAATAATATTAACTCAGAGTATAACAGAAGACCTGTTTCTTTTAATCGATATTCAAGTAGAAACACTGGTAAACAAACTACAAGACCTACCTCAGCTAATCGTTATTCGAATAGAGTTCCTAGTGAATTAAATACACGACCTACTTCAATTAATCGTTATTCAAATAGACTTCCAAGTGAAACAAGTACTCCTTATGAATACAATCCTTTATCTAAAAATTCAAGGAAATTAAATGCACTTCGTCAGAAAAACCGATTTAGGGATAACTTTCGACCTACAAACTCAACAGTTGATCAGGATTCAATGAATTATGAAGAAAATCCAAGTTATTTCAACCCAACAAAGTATCAAAAAAGTAAAAATAAATTTCCTGGCAATAATCCCTTCAAAAATAAACTGCGAGTTTCAAATAATGACCCATCTAATGATCCGGAAAATTCGTTATTATCTTCTTCATTTGTGCACACTAAGCCAAGAAATTTGGAAAATGAAGCGGAAGAAGAGGAAGGAACGGTATTCGATTCTGAAGATGTATTCGAATCAAACTCAGTAGATGGTAATTCTTCTAAGGATAGATTATCAAGTCAAAGTGTATTGGAACTTGCAAAAAATAAAAAATTTCGCAATCAGTTAAAGAATATGAAAGGAAATGATAATATTGAAAAGCTTGTCAAAGGAATAACCAACCACGCACGTAATTCAGGAGCTATACCAATGTCAGATATTGAAGAAAGAATTTCTGATCTTTTAGCCGAAGCCATCGTTTCTGCTAAGCAGACTAGTGGTTCAAAAAAACACATTGAGAGTGGTTTCAAAAAAAAAGTTAATCCATTGAGTGAGTTTTTTGAAAACGGATTAGTGAGACATAATATTGCAAGCAGATTATCAAATTATTTTTCTTATGCTAGTAAAGGACATGAAAATACTGAACATAAAGAATTGCTTCAAAACCAAAAATCAAATGTTAACAAAATAACTATAAAAAAAAATGATTTGGATTCTAAAATCGATTCATTAAACGCTTATAATACATTGTTCAAAAACCTGACTAGTGGAAATATGGAAAAGGCAGTTGGAGCAAAGCGATCAAAAACAACTACAAAAAATGAAATATCAAAACAAAATCTGTTTGGTTTTTCATCTTCAAAAAACAAACTTTTAGATATTGCAAAGATAAACTCCTCTTCAAAAGTTCTTGTAGTTAAATCGTTTCAAAATGGTATTAATGGTTTTACAAAAAATCCAAATTTAAATCTTAAAGTTCCAAATTTAAGACTTAAATCTCAAAACCCTGTTGTTACATCAAAACAATTACCGACAGCCTTTGTTTCACAAAAACCAAAATTAAAACCCATAGTTAAAAATGCTTTCAAAACAAATCAACGTTTTAATCAAAATCCTCAATTAAGTTTTTCGTTAAAAAATGGTAAAAATAGTAATCAACCAATTAAAAACACGTTTAAAATGGAAATAAAGAAAACAAATTACATTCAAAAAACTAAAGACAGATATCCTGAAAATAACTTTCCAATAAAGTCTAGTCAACATACGACAAACAATTTCATTAAACAAACAGTTAATCGGCTTAAATTCAAACCAACAGAAAAGAATCTGCGTGCTTTACACCCAATATCTACTCAGGTTTCAAAATTTATTCTCCCTTTAAAAAATAACAATTACCTACTATTACCAATTAGTGGCAATCGTTTTACTACGGGCATTGAAAGTCAAAAATATATACTTTCAAATAAGCAACCACAAAAAAATTTGAACTCTTCACATATAATAAACATACGTAATCCACTTCGTAATTCGAATACAGGAAAAATAATAAGAGAACCACAAACTGATTTCTATGCACAAAATTTAAAAAAGAAACCGCAAAGCATTTCCAACGCAATACAGGTAAAAAAGACACCGAATCACACCTTGGATACAGTAATAACAATACGCATACCAAAACATAGACCAGATGCATCTAAAATAATGAGCAGACCGCAACACAACTTGCATGCTATAAAAATCAAAAAAGGTACAGAGAAAGTTCTTAAACAACAACCAATTTTTATGTCACCAATGAATATAGAAAAAACTAATTGGCTTTTGTTTTCAAAAAACCATTCCTCGTCTGCTTCAAATAAAAATAATAGTACAAACATAAATAAAAAACCTTCTGGCTTGACTAAAAATAAAGTTTTAAAGCTCCCTTACTCTTTAAAATTTACTAAAATGCGTGATAACTTCAAAACTGAAAAAATACATAAAAATGCTAAGTATGTAGAAAACAAAAAACTGTTAGCTTTGAGTCCACAAGCTGTCGCCATGTTGGCGTTTGCCGATGAATTAGATAAAAAAAATGATAACGAATTGAGCCTTAAGAAAGTTTGGGAAGATAAAAACAAAATGCAGGAAGCCATTTTAAAAAAATACAAAGATAAACTGTTTCAAAGAAAAGAAGAAGGTTCTATTAACAAAAAGGAAAATGATTCAGTTAGAGACGTACATAAAAACATTCATATTGAGTATAAAAATCTTATTCGTAATATCCAAAATAAAACCAACTACTTAGTAACCAATCACCTACCAAAATATATTGAGATGGAGTTTGAAGCTACGACAGCGGCTCAGCGGCGCATAGCTTACCCAACAATGAGAGAGCTAAAAAGAATGGTAATAAATTTTCATAACAAGAATTCAATAAAAAACATGCTAGAAATTGAAAGAAAAATTCAAGATGTTACAAACAGCTTAGCAAGGTATAATCAACCAACGCCAAGCGGCAGCCATAAATTAAAAGCCAAAATTAAAAAAAAGATGCCAAATGAACTTTTGAATAAACAAAACAATGCATCAAATAAAAATAAAATAGAGACACCTTTTACTCCAACACGTTTGATAAGTAACTGGTTTCTCTGGAACAATTATCTGTCAAAGTTAGAAAAACAGAATCCTTCTAGAACAATTAAGCTTAAAGATTCATGACATCAGTAAACTATACACAGTACATCACAACACAAACATTAGCTGAAGTACACATATTTTAAACATATATTTTTATATCTTTTGTATATAAACTATTAATGAATTTTATTTTGTATATCTCATTTTTTATTTTGTAGTATGAATGCATTCTACTTTTTTAATCAAAATGTACGCATTCGAAGTAGGGTGTTCTTTTTAATTAAAAAACATAACAAAAAAGTTTTGGGGTAGTGGTGAAAGCTAACGATTTCTTGTGATCACTTTACACGTTTTTTTTTGACTTAAAAGTAGATACCCAATTTGTAGAACGTGATTACAAAAAGATTATTTTAAACGCAATATTAGCATCTATATAAAAGGTTTCAAGTTTATTCCACCCAACAAACTTGTGTAAAACCTATATAATTTTTTTTTATCTTATATAGAGCTATGAATATAGAACCCAAAGAAGTAAAAATAGTCTATAAATCATTCATTTAACATGGATAATTTATCGCTACAAATAGTGTAATAAGTTTGCAGATAGATAAATTTGACGTCTGACATTACATTGTTTTAATTTAATTGCACAAAAAAATGGCAAAAAATAAAACATGGCTAAAATGAATTTATAATATCAATAATCCCATTACTACAAGTAGACTTTCAAAGCCAATCCATTTTGACTCTTATGAACAAATTTTAACACCCAGAGCGTTTCAAACTGATTCCAAGGTATTGTTTTTTATTTTTATTTTTTTTTTTTTTTTGACTATTTATACTTGCGCCACTCTTTTTTTTACTATTAGCGCAGATAAAAATTTACAAATTATTAACTCTATACTTTCGTCATTACAAAGAATTAAAGGTTTTTTATTGAAACCGATTGTGCGTGTTTTTATTATTATTTTATTATTATTTGTTATTATTTTAAAAACCACGCTAATTCGTTTTGAAATTAAAAAAACGTGATTTTCAGCGTTGAGGTCCAATACACAACAATTTTAAGTTCGTTAGATTCTTTTGATCTCAGACAGTTCACCCACTTTGAACAAAAAGTTTGTGCAAGATTACATAGTTAAAAAGGTTAAATTAAAAGTTAAAAAGGTTAGATTAAGTTAAAAAGGTTAAATTAAAAAGGTTTGTGCAAGATTACATAAGTTTTATGGCCGACCATTATTTTTTTAACATTCCGCCTTCCTGTTGGAGAGCTTCATATATCCGTGTCACATGATAGAGTCGAAAATATTTATCCTCGAAAATATCACCGAACCGAAAATTTTAGAACCGAAAAGTATACTTTCATTGCAGGATCGAATTACAAAACCCTTTCTTGCGCCGAAAGTTTTTAAAACGAATTTTACAACCGAAAAAGTTTGGATCAAATTACAAATCCTTTCTTTTTTTAATTTATTATTTATTTTATTTTCAGTTAGTCGTTTTACAATAAAATAAACAATTAAAATTTCTTTAAAATATATATACATATATCTTATACTGCTGAGTTAGGTGAGCATGATGATGTCATACTCACCTAACGTCAAATAGCCTGCTGCTGGGGGCTTCAGTACATACATCGACTGACAAATAGCCTGACTCGCAGTGGAGTGCTGCTACATCGACTGAGGGTTTGGTATGGGTCAGCAACCTTTTCATTCATTATTCTTCGTTTTTCCTCATCGTTTTCTAAAAACGCTCACTTAGTTGTAATTAATTAAGTGTAACTTTCGGTTGTAAACCATTTTAATGAAATTCGGTTCTAAAATCATTAATGACTTTCGATCGAAAATTCGGTCGAAATTTTTTCGGTTCTAAAATCATTAATGACTTTCGATCGAAAATTCGATTGAAATTTTTTCGGTTCTAATTTTTTTCGTAAATATTTTCGGTTGTGTAAAAAATTTCTCATATTCGGTTCTAAATTGAAATTTTGACCTATGATTCAACCGAATTGATTCGGTTGAATCATAGGACGTCCATATATCGGCAGCTGTAAATAAAACTGTTAAGTCGGAGAATAAACTATTTAAATCTCTGAGCTATGATGGTGTTGTTGCAAATAATGAGACAATAATTTTGAAATTTAATCACCAGAATCTAAGGTCCCCTGCTTGGGAAGCAGGCTCTATTGGTGTTTAAAACTTGCAAGAACTCGATAGACCATAAAACGTTAGGAAATAATAAGAAAAAGATATAATTATATCACTTTAAAATACATTTATGCAAAAGCAAAATATATAAGTTATATATAAGTTTAACTAATTTTTAAAAACAATTTACATCTAGATTCTTGAGAATTGCAGAGAAACTTGCGGAAAAAAATTCAGACCATTCCCGACGGGCATTTGTTTTTAAAAGTTACGTTCTAAATGTGTTTTAAACGTCTTTTAAACGTCTTTTAAACATTAATGTTTAAAAGACGTTTAAAAGACGTTTAAAATACATTCAGAACGTAACTTTTAAAAACAAATGCCCGTCGGGTTAAGTAAAAATTAACAAAAATGAAGCTATTTCACCCGCCAGGTCTTTTGCAAAGACATTGCTACATGAAACTCAAGTTGCATTTCTCAAAAATTCTTATTCTGAGTTATAAAATAGTCAAAGAGATCAATAGAATAGCTGATTACAATAGAATAGCCAAAGAGGTTTAATAAACAGAAGACGCCTTAGTATATACTTTATATAAAACGCGCTGAAGCCAGTTTTTAAAAACAGCCGCACGGAACTCTATATTTTTAGTATAAAACTTTGCTAAAATGAAATGAAAACTTTGATATAAATAATTGAGTAAGTTGCCAGTTATATTTCTTAGGTTATATTATGCTACGAGGAATTTTTTGCTAACTGATTATCGGGTTCAGTTCATTCCAAAATATTGGAATACTAAAATAGACATTCAGATAGTCAACACACTTTTAGCAGATTTCGTATTTTACACAGTGTTAACATCTTTTGGAATAAAAACAAATGTTAGTGAGTTTTTTAAAATCAAATGTAAACATAAATATACTAAATATTTCTTCTTTAATCTCTCTTTGTGTGTGTATATATATACATATATATATATATATATATATATATATATATATATATATATATATATATATATATATATATATATATATATATATATATATATATATATATATATAACACTTTTATGTAAATATATATGTATTATTTATTTGTTTAAATATCGGTAATAACTCTCAAACATTTGGTTTTATTTTCTCAAGAATCTTTCATACTATCTAAAATACAATATTTTCCTACATCATGTTGAAATACAGCTATCTGATTGTCTATTTTAGTGTTCGGAAAGTTATTGGAATAAACTGAAGAAGACAATCAGTTTGCAAATAATTCTTTATTAGATTGTAGAAGCTGCCAAACATAAACTATCGAATAATTCAATCATTGAATGCAATGTTTTAATAAAGTCTTCAGTAAAATTTTAAGTTCCGTGAAATGTTTCGGGTTAACCAAGATGGCGGCCGTTTTTTAAAACTGGCTTCAAAAAAATCACGTGACACCGTTTATTAAAGCTCCCCGAGAATAGCTGACCACATTTTTCTTCTTAGTCCCATTACTCAAGAACAATTAATGTCATAAAAGTAATAAATTATTTAAAAATAATGGTTTGCTAAAAAATTTAAAGTCAGATGTAAAAAGACAAAGAAAATTATAGTCCAACAAATTGTCTTAACTCATTACTTAATCATTGAATTAAGTTCAAAGCATTAGTTTTTTAATGTGATACGGTTCGTCCCATTTCACTCCGTGTTGTGGTGATATTGCACAACGGTTGGGGTGAAATGGGATATTTATACATTCAATACAAATATTTTTATTTTATAGGACATTTGGAACTGAAATATCTTTGCGGAACAAAAATGCGATTGAATTAAAGCTTTGAAACTTTTGCAGATTCAAAAATTCGTAATAAAAAAAAATCCTAACAAAGTAAAAAATCACACTGGAAACTACACAAATAAATGGAATGAAAATGATTGTTGGAGGGAAGTAGTTTTTTATGCGTCAGATAGAAAATCAACTTTACTGAACTAGCACGAAAATGCAACGTTATTAACAGTAAAGGTGAGATAGCTAAAAATGGGGATGATATTGTACAACAGTTTCTGTTAAGTAAAGATATTGACCTAAGTTGTTTTCAATATAAAGGTCAAGGAAATAATAGACGATGCAAAAAGAAAATACATGCAACAGATATTAGTATACCTACTGAACCAACAATGAAAAAAATAAGGCTGAATATAAAAGAGAAAGTGTCTAAAGAAGATTTTACAATTGGTGAATTGATTTAACCACAAAAGCTCCAAATCCTTACAATAACTGATGATAAATCTGAGGTTGATGGAGCAGGTAGAAAAATCCTTCTTAATCATATTAGAAAAACTCTTGCTAAAAAGCACAATTGTTTTATCAGATCACATTCAGAATCTGAAATAAATTCAATAGTTAATGGTTAGAGAAGAGCTAAATCGTATAAACAGAGGCGATTCTACAAATAAAATGAGGGGGGGGGGGGGGGGTAAATCCTCAAAAAGTACCGATTAGCTTTAAAAAAAAAAAAGGTCCTCAAAACGAAAGTTTAACCGACTGAGTTGTGTCATATAGCCGACTGCCAACTAAATTCGTAAATAAACTGTAACCCCCCCCCCCCCCCTAAACACACACGCCTACTCATAAAATTGCTTCTGCGTATAAATGAAAATGACAATAACATTCACAAACTTCAGGATTTGCGAAATAAACTGTTATATTTTAACGGAAAGTACACATTCAAATTTGACATGATGGATCTACTATAAACAACCATTCTCATTTACTGTTTATGGTAAACTGTATGTATGATAAAGCAATATATTACACTGAAAAGGGAAAGTTTTAAAATTGATTTTCAAGCTCAGATTGAAAAACCTGAACTCTATATATTTGCTCGTTGTTCATCAACAGATAAACAACTAATGTACACAAGTACTAGAAATGAAGATAACAGACGTTTAGGTGAGTCTGTTTATATAAATGGTGAAAAAATTAATGATGTAATGCAATTTTTTCATGGTGATGCACCTGCCTGTCAATTTGAGATTGGACAGCAAAAAGAAGGTGATTATCTTTGTTGTACATGTCCAATTAACATACATCGCTCAAATGGTACAGCTCATTCATTTTATCAACCTCTGATGAAGATAAAAAGTAGAGTGAAGAAGCTCACCCTAATTCGAATATGTAGAAATCAAATAAATAAACCGCAAACTAAACTGTACAAAAACTTACTGAAACATGAAATTATCGATGAGATTAATGAAAGAGGAATATACTTTTAATAAAAGTCACACAAACAAATTTTACAACAAAAACTTGATTGTGAAATGCATGGCATGCAGAAATTACCAGCTTTGCTATGAAATAAGGATTTTAATGACTAAGAAAAGCTATAATTGGGTAAATATAAAACTTTGCCATGTGTACCATTGCATGATGTGAAAGGTCACACATCTAATCTTTATGAAGAAATCGGTTCTAATTTGAATACTATTGAAAGAAAACTGTTTAAGGAAATGGTAAATTTATTATTTGACAACAAAAACTGCAAAGGTGGCACTGACTATCGCAAAAGTTTAAGTAAATTAGTTTTGACATTGAAAGGTAAAATTGATTCAAAAGCTTACAATGTTTTATTAACAATGTTTAACATTCAAGGCATACTGTATAGTAATGAACTCAGTCGAACAATTGAAAATATTTTGTTTCTCTACAATCAAACTTTTTTGCGTTCAATTTATTTAAAAGAACTAATAAAGGACAAACCAATAGCAGTCTCACAAAGAAAAATGTATGCAAATACCAACATAACCTTATAATGCATGCCCCAAACATGTTGAGAATAGTTTCTGGAATATGAGCAAACACTGAAGAAGAAAAAATAACTTTTAATACAATTAAAACTATAAACAGTTCAACTACAAACCACCATAATAAGCATGTGATATTAAACACCTTGACTACGATGTCATAAAAACTTAAACGAGGGCTACAAAACTTAAAACCATCAACATGCAATAAGAAAGATAGTAAATTAACATGAACAAACAAAACCAGAAATTTCATTTTGGATGATTGAAATGTATCCATGGGTATGGCAAAGACATTTAGAGCGGACATCAGACTACTTGTCAGAAGGTAATAATATTTGGTGGTTTGAATCAAAAAATGGAATAATATTCAAAGATAAAATACATAATATTTCATCAGCAGCTACATCATTTTTGCTCATCCACATTAACGTCTGAATATACCAATCTCAAAAATATCTGAAATAAATATTTGTTGGACAAAACAAAAATTCATGAACAAAAAACACGATTGTGTGTAACGGGGGTACTCAAATTTTAAATTGCAATGATTTAAAAAAATATATAGATTCAGAAAATAAAAACACCAAAATTTGAACCAACATCAACGGTTATTAATTTTGCACTAATAACTCTTATTAATTTTGCTCTAATAACATAAGAACCAGAAAAAAAATGATCAGATCAAAGAACCTAAGATGCAAAAAATGATCATATCAAAGAACCTAAGTGTGGACCAAACAACCAGTACTCTCCATTTATCTGATATTTTAACAAAGCCCTATATATTACCGTTAATTGTAAAACCTAATATTAACGTTAGTTCTTTGTTTAAAACACATACATCAGTACTCCTATTAAAGATTTTACCAGAAGAATATGATTTTTGCAAATCTTTTGTAAAAGCTGAAGTTTATTTAAAACAAAATAAATTAGACAAAGATTTTATAACAAAAAATCAATATACAGTTGCAGAAATAGAAGTAAAAATACTCTTAGATTATCTAGAACACTTTTAGCGTATGATAACGTTAAGTCTAAATTAAAATCAATAGAAAAAATAGAATGGGAAAATAGTGTCATTTTAACACTAACTTCAAAAAACAGAAAAAAAAAGCATTTGTTATGACAAGCTTATAAACAAAGCAAAACAAATAAATTTGCTGAGAATGGAAATGAATTTTTAACAGAATTTTTATTTTAGTATTCTGTTAATATTTAGTTAACAATATTAAACAATATTTCTTATTTATACATATAGTTATATATATATACATATATACATTTAGCATTTTATAGTTATTACGTTGAGGAGTTATAGTGATAAAATATACAGGTCAACAAAAAAAAAAAATTTCTCCAATGCCGAGCAAACAATTTTTTTTTTGTATAGCAAAATTTATTTTTAACTGATTTATAAGAAGTCTGTAGTTATGCAATAAAGTATCTAGATTAGGCAAGCCTAGTACCATAAACATATTTTTAGCGCTTGAGTACTTGTCATATCCAAAAAATATTTTAGCACATTTCTTGTAACAAGTCTAGTTTTAACATATTATTTGCACTAAAATTCGTCCATTGAGAGCCACATCATAAAAACAGAAGCAGTAGGTCTTAAATAGTTGCACTTTTACCTTAATCGAGCATTTCTTGAATCGTCTGATTAATATGTTTGCACGTGTATAAAAACATTTAATCTCTCTATGTATATCGGCATTATCAAACAAACAATTTTCTGTTTTGTGATCCAGATACTTGAATTCGTCAATGAAAACTAATTTACATCCAGCTAAGGTAAAGAGTAAAAAATCGCTTGATTCAATCTTACATCTCTATTTTGGGTTAAATACCATACACACCGTTTTTTTGTATTAAATGACATATTAATGGCAGTGGCTTCAACATTTAATGCATTTAATAATTTTTTTCTATGCAAACCAAGACGGAGCGATTAGTACAAAATTGTCAGCATATGCCAAAAGATTCTAAAACGCTCCACCTATGTTACATCCAATATGCATATTTGTAGTATTGAAAATCAGTGTTCTTATATAAAATATGAACAAGAACAGTGAAAGAATTCCACCTTGCCGTACACCATTGCTTATGATAAAGCTATCAGAGTTTACTTTCTGTTATTTGACAAACATAGTTTGGTTCTTGTACCAAGAGGCAAGTAGACAGACCACATTCTTGGTAATACCCTGATCAATTAATTTAAAAAACAGTTTATAATAATTAACGCTATCAAAAGCTTTGTAGAATTCTTTAAAGCATGTGAATACATGGCTTCCTCTAGAAACATAGTATTCAACTGTCTTTTTTAAATAATATGTACAAGACATTGAGAAATAATTTTTCTTGAAACCAAACTGGAAATCATTAGCTTTCTCATGAGATTCAATTCTTTCTAGTAAAATGCGTTTAAGTATTTTAGAGCAAGCGGGAGAGATCGCGATTGCTCTGTAATTATTTACATCTGACAACTCTCCAATTTTATATTTTACTAGTTATTATCGTGGCTTCACAAAATTTTGATGGCAAATTTCCATACAACAAGCATAAATTTAAAAAAATACTTATTTAGAATGTCCTCCATGTATAAATGATTCCATAAATAAGTCATCTGGTCCAGCAGATTTTCTCTTTTTTTGCTTATGCAAAGCATTAGTAACATACGTAATAGTAATTCTAACAGTTATGTCTAGCAATGAAGAATAGACTTTCTGTTCAAACTGTATTCTTTGCTATGTTATAATTAATAAATAATGAAATCATAACTTAAGCATCAAAATATTGTTAATAAAGCCTTATATTACATAAACATAAATTTATAGTACCTCCATAAGTTAATGTTTATTTCAAGAAAATCATAGAGCTTTGGTTTCTTTTATTTTTATAACAATAATTTAAAATTAACATAAGTTACTTTTAACATATTGTTGTAAAAACAATTATTTTTATGAATACCAAGTCGATACAAATAACTATTATGGCTTCAGAAATGTAATAAGATAAATACTTTTTATTGTTAGCACAGCGCAAAATGAAATATATATTACATTATTCATTCTAACTGCTTTAAAGGTAGCATATTCTTTAAATATATCAACACAAATTGTTATTAGGTTCATAAATTATGTCGAACAAACACTTCGAGTAATGTAATTATATTGATATATCTCCTGCAAAACTGTTTTAACGGACACTTTAGTTGTTTACAATATTTTGTCATTATTTACGAATGCATTGCTTGCATAAATTAAATACCAAAAAATAAAAAGTTCTTTGGTATGCCACTAACAACCAATCGGATTTGTTTAAAATTAGTAGCTTTTTTTTTTTTAACGAGTTTACTTGTTCTATGCCTTAGTTGCATTGAGCAGTATCCTGAAGTGTCACTGATGAAAGTTCTATAAAAATATTTGGGAAACTCTAACCTTAATTCTAAAATCTTTTTTTTTGATATGTACAAAACTCAATGCTTTGTTGAAAAAACAAAAAAAAAACAAGTAATAGGATGGAGGCAAACCGCGTAGATACTCGCTTTAATACTGACCAAATCTCTCGTACGATTAAACAAATCCAGAATCACTGAATTGGAGAACAGAAACAAAAATGCCTTCAAAAATGCAATAACACAATAAGACTTATAAAAACAACTTAAACTAAAAACTTCTGATAAGAGCGAATACATATACTTTTTTTAAATTTAAAAAAAACTTTTTTGGTTAGTTTTAAAAACATTTTTTTTAATAGAAAAATGTAAAAACAAATCTACGTGCAGAAATAAAACAAGGAAAATAGGATTTTCAGTTTTAATTTAAAAAAATAAAAAACTGTTAGTAACACATAAAATAAGAGGCGTACCCAAGAAAAAGAGATTCAGACCCAGCCCTTGAAAGCTTTTCCTTCAACTAAAATAATTTTGATTTAAATTGGTTTTGAAAATGTAACTTTTTTTTTCTTCAAACAATTTAAATCAACTCTAAAAGATATCCGAATTTTTACAGTCCTTAAGGTCTTGGGACAATTATAGAGGATTGAGATGTGTTTACTATGCCCTCATATGAATCATATACTTGGGTGTGCACCTACTTGATGTAGTTGAAACAAAAAATATTAGAACAATATAGTCAACTAGAATAATAAAACTAATCTTCTAAGAATAACTGGAATAATAAAACTAATCTCCTAAGAACGACTTGACATCATCAAAACCATTTTGTTTAGCAATATGAATGAGGATACCGGTAGCTCGTTTTCCCTTCTTCTTCATACAGAAGCTGCAATTACAAATACTTCTACATGGAGGGCATATCCACTCTGGGTTCATTATAGCTGCTTTAGCGCACTCACCGTAACGATTTTTTAAACATGGCCCACAAAACTGACCTCTTATTCCGATGCATTCCTTTCTTCGACATACAGTTTTTAAATCATCTGTTTTTTGTCGACATTGATGACATGAGGTTCCATTAACAGAATCGTAATTTTTATCACTTGTTCTTTCTGCAACTAAAACTAAGTCTTCCTCTTTAACATCTTCGAAGGGTCGGTTTTTTGATAAAAATTTATTAGGCTTAACATCTTTGAGGTCATCATCTGAATAAGTATCTTCAAAGCCATGAAGGTAAGCCTCACTTTTTGTAAAAAGGTTTTTAGAAACTTTTTTGTTCCATGAAAAGCGTATTAAAGCGGATTTATTTTCTTTATCATTATGCTCTTCATCGTCATTACAATCAATTCGTTTTCTCTTACAAGACCGCTCTATAGAATGTCGATGAACAACAAATTTATCAGAATTTGAGACAGATTTTCGTTTTCTTACAGTCACCTGCGTAAAATTTTCCTTGTTTAAAAGAATTCCATCAGGAAAGATTTCCTTGAAGATTTTAGAATTAGCTTCAATGTTATCTTTCCTTAAACGTTCAAGAATACTTTCTGAATAGGTTTCTAGACATTCCAAATTTCCGTTAGTCATTCTACTTTAAAACATAAAGTACAAAATAGAAATAATGAATAGAAATCATATATAAATACATATATATATATATATATATATATATATATATATATATATATATATATATATATATATATATATACACAGATATATATATATATATATATATATATATATATATATATATATATATATATATATATATATATATATATATATATATATACAGATATATATATATATATATATATATATATATATATATATATACATATATATATATATATATATATATATATATATATATATATATATATATATATATATATATATGTATGCATATATGTATATATATATATATACACATATATATATATATATATATATATACATATATATTTATATATATATATATATGTATATATATATATATATATATATATACACAATAAATGCGGTAGTGGTGTAGTGGTAGAGCGCTCGCTTCATAAACGAGTGGTTCCGAGTTCGATCCCCACCACGTCCCTGGTAGTACCGCGCTCAACTCATTTCTCCGCACAGCGGCCTTGTTCGTCAAGGTTCGTGTTTCGGAGTTATAGAGTTGAGAGAGGGTTATAGCCACAAATAAGTAGCCTCCTCGTCTGTAGTGGCCTTCTCGGCCTTGAGGAGGTGAATCAAAATAAAAAAAAATTAAAAAAAAATACAATATATATATATATATATATATATATATATATCAAATATAACATTAATTTGGTTTTAAAATTTCTTCAACAAGACATACTTTTGAAAGCTTTTTTATTTTACTAATAATATTAAGGGACCCATTTAATGTTTAAAGGTTTTAGGCAGTGCCGGATCAAGGGGGAGGGGGTCTATAGCCCAGAGCCCCGCAAATTTAGGGGCTCTGGGCTAAAAAATTTAAGAGAACCTTTTTTTTGTTATAGTCATTTTTAGGCTCTGGCCCATAAAGAGGCCTTCAAAAATAGCCCCGGGCCGCAAGAAGTCTTAATCCGCCACTGGTTTAAGGCATCCATAAAAACATTTTAACCTTCATATATTATATTTAACAAATAAAATAACAATAAATGATTCCAATCAAGATAACAATCAACAGATTTAAGAGATTGCAAATTATATGAATCAGGAAAGCAAGAAAAAGAAAGCAAATTCCAAAGAACTGATGTTTAAAGAAAATAACTAGATAAATAGGTTCTTTTGGAGCACTTAATAACAGTCACAGAAATAGGATGAGACTTAATTGAATGATGGGTAACACAAGAATGAATTTCAGTAGATGGCACAAGAGACGCTAGCTCTTTAGAGCAGTGTCCATGATAGTATTTATTTAAAAGAGAAAGAAAAGCAACATTATGACGATGCGATAATGGTTAGAGGTTGGCTGCAAGAGCAGGTCTTACTATTTTTACAATGTGTTTTTGTACTTTGTCTAAAAGAGGAAGGGTATCATAAAAAGATTACAACATTACCATTCATAAGATTAGGAAGATTACAACAAAACAGACAATACCAAAAACTACAACAAAAAAAGATTAAATTATTTTTAAAAAAGTTGTTTGGTGAAAACATATTCGAAATTTAAAAAGATAAAAACTAAATTAATGTTTATCGGTTTACAAATCTTTTAATAGAGTTTAAACTCTTTTTGATTTAATCAGATATATTACCAACATAAAGAAGTGTAAAGTAGCTATTCATGACTTTATGTTCATGGATTTGTATTGATTAGTAGAAATAGTTTTTTTAGTAAGAATTATAAATTTTATTTATAAGCCAAGTCGGGTACCAAGCCAAGTTGTATATTAATAAGCCAAGTTGCTTTAGAGAATGTTAAAAATTAATGTCATAGTAAAAACCAAATTAAGTATTATTTTAAAGGTTCTAACAATTAAGCATTTAATTAATAGAACCATAAATTTACCTAATGTAAAAAAGAGATGAAGCTACAAAAAGAATTATGAAGACCTAAATATGCTTCTTAATAAAAAAATGGATAATATATATATATATATATATATATATATATATATATATATATATATATATATATATATATATATATATATATATATATATATATATATATATATATATATATATACAGCTACCAATGCATGTTAATAACTATCAATGACATACATTTATAACTAAACTTCGTTGCCAAAGGGCATGAAATTTTAAGTTCCATCACAAAGTTATATTTTTTCAAATAATCAAACTCTTTATATAATAATACTGATTTATTTAGTAAACAATTTACTTAATATTGATCTCAAACAAACAAGAGACTTTGTATCATAACTTGGTACAATAAAACAACATCATATATATATATATATATATATATATATATATATATATATATATATATATATATATATATATATATATATATATATATATATATATATATATATATATATATATATATAAATATATATATATATATATATATATATATTTATATTTATATATATATATATATATATATATATATATATATATATATATATATATATATATATATATATATATATATATATATATATATATATATATACTATATGTATGTATGCATGCATATATGTATGAATAATTCTTTAAAAACTCATGAGATAAATTAAGTATTTGTTCTTTAATTACATTTTACTGTTGAGTTAAAAATAAAAAATAAAGAAAATACTTAACAAAAACAATTTTCTTATCAACAAAAATAATTTTTTTACAAAATGTACAATTTAATTAAAAACAATCAGCTGATTAAGATTTATTTTTCCTTCATCAAACTAGATTTTTATTTTACAAATAAAATAACACTGCATTGCAAAATATAAAAGTACAAGTAAAAATTTTATTTTCAAGTTTGAATTGTTTTAAATTGTTTTTACTTTCTACTCTCTTGATGTTGTCTTACTGTTTTAATTTTATTCAACCCTAATATATATATATATATATATATATATATATATATATATATATATATATATATATATATATATATATATATATATATATATATATATATATATATATATATATATATATATATATATATACATATATATACATATATATATATATATATATATATATATATATATATATATATATATATAAACATAAAAATAATTTGTATCTGTTATTAATGGGTAAAATCAAGTCGATATAATAACCCTCAACTAAGTTAAACAATAGTATTGCTATTCTAAATGAGAGAATTCCTAAACAAAAAAATCATAAAATCTATTTACTTGGCCTTATTTCATTCTCATCTAACATATAAAATTGTGAGTTAGGGTCAAAATTTATCAATAGTAAAAAGTCTATGAATTCTTAAAAAAAAAATTTTTCATTATAATAATTACCTTGAAATGAATCAATAGTAGACTCTCAACATGGATTCAGGAAAGGAAAATCCTGTGTGACCAATTTATTATTGTTTTTGGAGCAAGTAACAGGATTTGTTGACAATGGAGATTGTGTAAATGTGATATATTTAGATTTCGCAAAAGCCTTTGATAAGGTTCCTCATCAAAAATTGCTAAAAATGTTGTATAGTCATGGTATTGAAGACAAACTTTTTCAATGGATAAATTCATGGTTGATTAACAGGGTTCAACAAGTAGTTTTGAATGGAAATTCTTCTTTTAGGAGAGTAAATAGTGGCATACCACAAGGATCAGTATTAGGTCCAATCCTATTTTTGATATATATTATTGATCTGGATACTAGTGTGACAAACCATTTATTAAAATTTGCTGACGATACTAAAATATTCTCTAAAGTTAATACCAGAAGTGATGGTTTGCATCTCTGCAAAAGTTTGTTAAGTGGTTCATTGAATGGCAAATGCAATTTAATGTTATGCACTTTGGAAAAAAAAAACATTGGTTATGAATATAGTATAAACGGGTTTATTTTAGAAGAAATTGAGACTGAAATAGACCTTGGTAGTAATATCAAATGATTTAAAAGCATCTAACCAGTGTATGAGGGCTTATGGCAATGCAAAGAAGATTCTAGGAATGATAAATGCACTATTGCCTATAAACAATCTGATATTATGATGAAACTATATAAACCATTAGTTCGTCCACACATAGAATATTGTACATCTGTTGGTCACCTTTTTAATTCAAAGATAAAGAACTTATTGAAAAAATACAACATCATTTCAGTAAAATGATAATAAAAGTGGAACATATATCATATGCAGACAGAATACTAAAAATAGGTCTATGGACACTTAAGGAACGAATGAACAGAACAAGTGTACAAGATGTTGCATAGACTTTCTACTATTTCATACAAAAATATTTTTTGAATTAGCCACAAACAAAAGAACAAGAGGTCACCCACTTACATTAGTTAAACATAGATTCACAACTATGGTCAGACAAGATTTCTCCTCAGAATGTGTAGTCAATTGCTGGAACTCACTTGATAATAATACTGTAACATTCACTTCCCTAAATTGTTTCAAATCAAAACTTAATAAGTTACACACAACAAGGATGGGTTTTTTTATGGACTAATGTCTTTAAACTTTAAATTAATACCATTTTGATATATTAAAAACTACATTTTAATGCACAGATGCCTCAATAAAAAACTGTTGAAATTATTTTATGACTGGTTTACTCTGCCGGAAATTTTTACTGATTGGCTACTCTTATAGTCAAGCATTTATAAATATCTATAGTCAATATCTATAATGAAATGTTCCTTTATAAACTAGGCAAAAGATTGTAATCATCTGCAACTCCAATAAAATATTACCCCTTTCTATTTCTAAACAAATATTTTTATATAATGACTAAAAAACTATTTTTTAAATCCTAGTGGATTCATTAAATAGTGCTTTATCACTTTATAATATATATATATATATATATATATATATATATATATATATATATATATATATATATATATATATATATATATATATATATATATATATATATATATATATATATATATATATATATATTGTAGCAG